AATGACTCTAGCTTTGCTCGCTATTGTGAACTCCTGCTCTATGTCTGCTTGCTCATTGTACTGATTACACCCCACTTTGGCTATGGGGGTGTGTCAGAATGTTATGTTTGACTAGCCTGCTGTGGGGTACTCAATAGTGAGTACAGCCCAACTTAGGGTTTCCTATATGTACTCAACTGCTTGCTAGTGAACCCCCTCTCTTCTTCATCTCTCATTTCTTCACACGCGGTGCACGACCCCGATCCCGACGGCGTCTGCAGGGACTGCCACACACCAACGTCTTCGACGAGCGCGATCGCCGGCCTTGGCCTTGCCGCCATTCGCGAAACAGAGCGAGACGCACCGCCTGAAGAGGGTCTCTCCCAACTGGAGTTGGAAACAGCTACACGGGTCGTATTCGGCACACCGGGACACCCTCTTCCCGGACCCGCATCCCAGCATCTCCAAGGAATGCTCCGCGGCGTTGGCGTTGGCACCTTCGACGCGCACGGGAATCCCCGGCCCTACACCGAACGAAAGGCGGCAGAGATCTACTCTCACCGGCGCGATTCCAAGAAACGGCTCTTGCCCACGGAAGAAGAGACATTGGCGCAACAAGAAGCCAAAGAGCTTCGGCGGAAGAGCCTCGCCGAGGCACGCGGAACGCTCGCCTGGGACCAGGACGAGAAAAGCGCCTCCAATGAAGGGGGGTGGGGGAGCGCCGGCGGATGGGGAACGAGCGACACCAGCGGCTGGGGCGTCGCAACCGGCGGATGGGGCGCAGCAACAGGCGCATACATCGGCGGATGGGGCGACGCACAAGGCGGCGAAACGAGCGGCTGGGGAGCTTTCCGCGAGGATCAAAGGGGGGAAGAGGAAGAAGAACCTACGCATGCTGAGGTCGAACCTCCTGTTGTTCCTCTCGGACGACCTCCGCGCCGCCCTGCGGTAGGACCACCGCCGCCTGACATCCCTTCAGGTAGTGACCCCTGGGACACCATTGACTGGGGAAGTGAGCCACTCACCCCGCGACGCACTGTCCACGGACCTGCCCCTGAACCACGCGAACCAGCGTTCGTACTTGGCACGATCCCCGGAACCAACATCCCCTACTCCATCATCCGCGACAGAGAATTTCTCGCCCTCATGCTAACGACGGCGCACGAGGAAGAAGAAGAGAACGAGGGAGCAGCGCCTACACCTGCACCGGCACCTGAGGAAGACCCCGCAGCCGCACTGGAGCGCTACATGCGCACATCTGGATTCCGCGCCGACGACGCCATCTGGCATCAGCGCCTAGGTCACCCTTCGCGCGTGACCCTGAAGAACTGCATCGAAGGCGGCGTCTTTGCACCTGGCGCGCTGTTGCGCCCTGACGGCTCCGAAGTGAGAGGAGGGACTCACCCGCGCAGCTGCATTGTCTGCCCCGAAGCTGTGCTGAGTCACCAGCCCTTCCCCCTACTCGAGCCAGGAACCAATCGCTACGCCAAGCTTGAGAAGGTTTACAGTGACTTTCTCAACGTAGGACACTGCGGCATCAATGACGAACTCTACATACTCACCTTCGTCGACGCCGGAACGCGCCACATGTGGGTCGTAAACGTGGAAGTGCGTAGCAGAGCCTACGAAGCATTCCGTCTGTGGCTAGCGCACGCGCAGCGGCAATCTGGGGAGAAATTGAAGATCTGGCAGTCCGATGGTGCGGCGGAGTTCAGGAGCAAGGAACTGTAGGATTACCTCGTGCAAAAGGGGATCGAGCATCACATCTCCCTCCCCTACGTGCACCAACAGCAGGGCGTAGTGGAGCGCACGAATCGCACCCTCATGACGAAGGTACGGGCACTAATGCGGCAGGCAAAGCTCCCGCCGATCTACTGGACCTACGCGATGCACCACGCCGTGCGGGTGCACAACCTGCTGTCAACCACCGCAATCACCAGGAACTCCTCGCCGCACGTGAAATGGACGGGAAGAAAGGGGGACACCTCCATGCTCCGCGTCTGGGGCTGCATGGTTCAATACCGACTGCCAACATCAACCATCGGGAAGTTCAAAAGCCGCGCGCGCTGGGGAATCCATCTCGGTTTCAGCCACGAACACAAGGCGTGGATCATCCTGGATCTCCTAAGCCAGAAAATCAAGAATGCGCGCGATGTCATCTTCTACGAGCGTCTGTTTCTGCAACAATTTCGTGACGACGAGCAGACGAATGCAAACCGCGTCTACGCCAACGAGGGCCACAGCTACGCCTCACCTAAGGACGAAGCAGCAGCAGCAATTCTGGAGCAGGATCCCAGAGGCGAGTTCACAAGGGGCGATCACCGCGACGACGACGACGATGATCCAGGAGAAGGAGGAACAGCGCAACAGGAGGAGGTGCAGCAGGAGGACGCAGAAGCGGCGGAGACACAGCACCGCCAACACCGCCTGAACCAGAAAGCGATGATGACGACGTGCAGGAAGTCGTCACTCAACATCGCCACGACAGCACTGTCACCGGTCTCCAGCTACTTGGACTACACGCTGCCATCTCCACTGCTCCGCGCATCATCGAACCGAAGAACCCACGGCAAGCTCTCACAAGCCCATACAGCAAGGAGTGGCGCGAAGCAATGGATGCGGAAATCCGAGCACTCGAGTCGCGCGACACCTGGGTGCTTGTCGACCGTGCAGCATTAAAGGGGAGAAGGATTCTCTCCGGCAAATGGGTCTTCCGAGTGAAGACAGGAGCCGACAGAAGGATTGAGCGATTCAAGGCACGCTGGGTGGTACGCGGCTACGATCAAAGGCACGGGATTGATTTTGACCAGACATTTGCACCGGTCACTCGTCACACGCCCGTCAGAATTCTCCTCGCCATCGCAGCCGCACGACACCTACCACTTCGGCAGATCGATGTCAAGAATGCGTTCCTGTACGCATTAGTGGAGCCGTGATCTACGTGGAATAGCCACACACTTACGGTGATGGAGACCCACGCGTCTGTCAGCTACGCAAGTCCCTCTATGGGATCAAACAGGCACCGAGACTCTGGCAGCAGTACCTGCACAACATACTGCTTGAAATCGGGTTCAAGTAGCTGTTCATGATTTTGGAATGTATCGCCGCGATTTCCGCGGCGAATACATCCTCCTCACGGTCTACGTCGACGACCTTCTCTACACAGGCTCAAGCAACGAAATGCTTGAGCAGTTTGAGAGAAGCCTCGCAGGGCGCGTCGACATTACCTGCAATCATGATGTGAAGCCGTCTCTCGGACTCAACATCACCTACTTGCCGGAAGCCATTCATCTCTCAGCAGCGAAGTATGTGGAGGAGCTTAGCAAGCGCTTCAACATTGCGCCTGCACCACTCTCCACCCCTTACCGCACTCCAGGACCCAACCACAAGCCTGACAACAAAGCCCTGTCCCCTGCTGGGCTTCACACTTACCAGCAGCAGTTGAGATGCCTGCTTTTCGCATCTATTACCTGCAGGCCCGACCTCTCCTACATTGCGAGCCAGTTGGCTCAGTACTCACGCAAACCAACGGCTCAGAATCTCTCAGATCTTCAGCGAGCCCTTCAATTCTTCATCTCCACGCCCAATGTCGGGCTCAGTTATTCCACCATCCCAACCACATCCTTCAGTCTCGTCGGCTACGTGGATGCCGATCACGCCGCTGACCCTGACAATCGACGGTCCAGGACAGGGTTCCTCTTCCGCTTCGAGCCCAGCGGCCCCATCTCCTGGAAATCTCAGAAGCAGGAGTTGGTTGCCCTGTCATCGGCGGAAGCTGAATTTATCGCAGCAACAGCAGCTGTACGCGAAGGTCTCTACCTTCAGGAACTGCTGCAGGAAGCAAAAATTCCGGCCTCAACGAACTTTCGCCTGCACTGCGACAATCAGAGCGTGATCAGGATCGCGAACAAACCTGGCTTCGTCAACCGCACCAAGCACATCGCACTGCGGTACTTCTTTGTCAAGGACGAAGTTGACAAAGGCAAAGTTGACCTGACAACCTGCCCAACGGGTGACATGGCAGCAGACTTCCTCACGAAGAGACTGCCGCGTCAGCAGTACCAGCAGTGCTCCGAACTCAGCGGGGTAGTCAAGCGAGTAAATGCTAGCTACGGCCAGGAGTGAAGGGGGGGTGTTACGAATAGTAGTTAATGAAAAACACTGTTGCGCACTCCTCACCGTAGTAAAGCCGAAGCACGCACTATCAAGAGTGAAGACAAAAAGCCAGAAGAAAGGCGAAGGGACAGACGGTTACGAGGAGCATCTGGATCGTCGGGCAGACAGCATCAGGCAGCAGCAGTGGCGAGGATTCTGCCCGAACAGTTACGTAACCACTCGGAGTCGCACGGTTGGATTTTGCTGCAATAAGGGAATGTACCCCTTAGAGTACATGGCTAGTTAGGTCGTTTCGAATTCCCCTGTACTCATATTTATATTCCTTGTACTGCACGTGTTTATTATCTCAAAGCATTTTACATTCACTCTGCTATTGAGGGCAAGGGCCCACCAACATCACTTCTCTGCGTGCGAACCTTCCTGAGTAGATCCTAGGCCACGATCAACTTCTGGTCGCAGCAGTTTGTAAGACATCATGGATAGATCTCCTAGGTTAAGGTGAAAACCATTCCCAAGCACACAGGGGCTTGCTGAGTCAGGTAGGCAGCAAACTCCTGCACACAACACCACACATCACTCAGGATGCGCTGCGAGTGTGCTGCACGAAAGCAAACAAAGATGAGCTGTTGTTTCACAAAGCAAAAGGAGCGGGATTAATCAGTAGTTATGACTACTACTCTGTTTTTAGCTCCACAGCTTACTGTTGGGCCCCTTGGCCTAAATCCGCTAAGGAATAACGGGGTTGACTAAATTGAGGATAAGCGCAGCGGAAGACTTTGGCGAAAGAGAGTGTTGGCGAAATGGGCGAAGAAGTAACTCAGTAATTGAAGAGTTGAATGAGAATTGATTGATATGTCAAATGATATATATGCTACATATGCTTAGGCTGTAGTGGGGTAGCCAATATGGGGTACAACCCACTTGAGGGTTTCACATTTGTACCTCATTCTTTCATAGTTCAATCATTCCCTGCTGCTAGATTCTAACATGGTTTCAGAGCACTAGGTCCGTAGGACCATTTTTTTCGGGCCCACCTACCGTTGCGGTTACCACGCTACCCCACGTATTGTCCTGCGCCTGCTTGCCTGCCTGCCTTGCCTTGTGACGTGCTGCGCTGCGCGCGCCGTCCTACAGCCCTCGCGCTGCCTACTGCTGCCCTTGGCCAGCGCGCCGCCCTTGCAGGCCCGTAAGGCCTGCGCGCCGCCCCTACAGCCTTGTAAGGCCCGTGCGCCGCCCCTGCAGGCCCGTTAGCCGCCCCTGCAGGCCCGTCAGGCCCGCGTGCCGCCCCTGCAGGCCCGTCAAGCCAGAGCGCCGCCCCTACAGGCCCGTCAGGCCAGAGCGCCGCCCCTGCAGGCTCACTCGGCCGGTTCCAGTCTCTCTGGCAGACCCCTCTGGGGGTCCAGTCCGTACGACCTCTTCCACTGTCCTTCCTTGTCCTGCTATCCCGTCCAGCACACTGTCAGATCTTCACCTTCCCTCGTTCTCTACGAACTTGGTGGCGGGTTCTGCGCTCCATGACGCGGGTGTTCACCAGTTCACCCCTGCCTACGAGCGTGTGACACACTGCACGTGTGCTCAGACGGGTCGTCACCTGGCTACCTTCACTCGGCAGCCGGGGTTGGGCCTGTACACACTGACCACTAAGTCCCCTCAGGTAGCGGCGTCTGCGTCTGCGTCAGGTCAGTTGTCCGCCCCCTGCTCGTGTCGCGCCTTGTCTCACCGGACCCTCCTTTGGCACCACCGCCTTGGTCACCCCTCGGTGCAGCGCCTTCGCAGCATGCACCGCCGTGTCCTTGTCTCTGGTCTTCCCAGGGTTCTCCCTCCCCTCCCACCCTCGCCTGCTCCTCCTTGTCTTCCCTGTGTCGAGGGGCGGCAGCGCGCCGCTCCTCACTCCTCCTCGTTCCCTCCCACAGAGGCTCCCCTGCAGACTCTCCACCTGGACGTGTGGGGCCCAGCCCGCGTCCGTGGACAGGGCCACGAGCGGTACTTCCTGCTGGTCGTCGACGACAACACGCGTTACACCACGGTCTTCCCCTTGCGCACCAAGGGTGAGGTCCCTGATGTTTTGATCCCCTGGATCCGCGCTGCTCGCCTCCCGCTCCGCGAGCGGTTCGGGACGGAGTTTCCCGTCCTGCGTCTGCACTCTGACAGAGGTGGTGAGTTTTCCTTCGACCTCTTGGCAGCCTTCTGTGAGGAGCACGGCATCACCCAGTCGTTCACGCTTCCGGCCTCTCCGCAGCAGAATGGGATTGCTGAGCACCGCATTGGCTTAGGCATGGAGGTCGCTCGTACCTCCATGATCCTTGCGGCTGCCCCCCATTTTCTGTGGCCGTTTGCGGTCCGGTACGCTGCGCATCAGCTCAACCTCTGGCCCCGTGTCTCCTTGCCGGAGACCTCGCCCACACTGCTGTGGACAGGGAAGGTTGGCGATGCGTCGCGTTTCCGGGTCTGGGGTGCTCGTGCCTTTGTCCGCGATACCACCGCGGACAAGCTCTCCGCCCGCGCTGTTCCCTGTGTCTTCCTTGGCTTTGTCCCTGATGCGCCTGGTTGGCAGTTTTACCACCCCGCCTTGCGCCGTGTCTTCCCCTCTCAGGACGTCACGTTCGACGAGTCGGTACCCTTTTATCGTCTCTTCCCCTACCGCACTGCCCCTCTCCCCTCCCCGCCGCTCTTCCTCGCTCCAGGTGCTCCCCATGTAGACCCCCTCCCCACTCCCGGTCCTTCTCCTTCAGGTGTGTCTCAGGTAGACCCTCCTCCCTTGCCTGTGCCGGTTGAGGTCACTGGTGACTCAGGTCCTGCTCGGGGTGCTGTTTCTGGGGGTGCTGAGCCTGGGGGTGCGGAGCCTGGGGGTGCTGAGCTTGGAGGTGCAGAGCCTGGGGGTGCGGAGTCTGGAGCTGCTGAGGGTGCTGGCGCTGGAGGTTCTGGAGCTGCTGCAGGTGCCGGCACTGGAGTTTCTGGAGCTGCTGCGGGTGCTGGCGCTGGATTTTCTGGAGCTGCTGCGGGTGCTGTCGCTGGAGGTTCTGGTGCTGCTGCGGGTGCGGGCGCTGGAGTTTCTGGAGTTGCTGCCGGTGCTGGCGCTGGAGGTTCTGGAGCTGCTGCGGGTGCTGGCGCTGAGGGTTCTGAGTCTACTGTTGCGCGGTCTCCCTGGAGTAGCCGCCTTCGTCCGCGTTTGCCTCTCACCTCACAGCAGCTGCACGACTGGTACGGTCGCCGTCAGGATCGCGCTTCTAAAGCTCGGGGCTCTGCCGCTGGAGGTGTTTCTGCTGTCGTCACTGGAGCTAGGAGTGGTGCTGGTCTCGGAGGTGCTCGTACTGGAGATACTAGAGCTGCTGGGGCTGAAGGTGTTGCTGAGCCTGAAGGTGCTGCTGCTGGAGACCCTGGGTCTGGGGGTGCTGCTGCTGGAGACACTGAGGCTGGAGACACTAGGACTGGAGGTGCTGGTTCTGGGGGTGCTGCTGCTGGTGGAGCTGGTCCTAGAGGAGCTGGTGCTGAGGGTTCTGGAGCTGCTGGAGGTGCAAGAGCTGCTGGGGGTGCTGGAGCTGCTAGTGCTGGTGGCACTGCACAGCCGCGCCTGTTCTTTGCTCCACCGTCTCCGTCGTCTTAGCCAGCGCCTGACTCTGTGCTTCGCCTGGTTCTTAGTCTCCCTTCGTCTACTGGTCTTCCGATATAGCCTGGCTCACCGCTGCCTGCTCCTTCTCCTTACACTGAGCAGACAGGGGGTTTTACTGAGCGTCATGAGCCTGCGTCGCGTCCTGTCTCGCCTGTCCGTTCTAGTAGTTCCAGTCGTCGTGTTCCTCGTTCGCGTCAGCCGACTGTCCCCGGCACCCACCTCGTAGTTCGTCGTCCTTCCTCTCCTCCGCAGCGTGTCCCCCTACCGTCCCCTCCTGCGTCTTCTCTACCTACTGTTCCTGAGCTTGAGTCTGACCGCACCCGTGCAGCTCACCCTACTGTCACGCGTCTGCTAGCCACAGTTGTCACTGACCCGTCGTTTGCGTCTGCTGCTGCATCTTCCTTTGTTGCTGAGCTTGTTGACTTTGCTGCTGCCTACCGTCTAGACTACGCCGCTAGTCTTGTTGCTGAGTCTGAGTCTGTCTGTCCTCCGTCCATCGGGGGTGAGTGTGCTCTTGGCACGGACGTCCTTGAGGACAAGCAGGAGGACCTTGAGTGTCTTGCAGCCGCTGCGTCTCACCTCGTGTCCATGCTGCTTGCCCCTGAGGGAGACCCGGATGCTCCAGACATCCCGACCTCGCGCTCTTACGCTGAGGCGATCGCGGGTGAGTACTCCTCTCAGTGGCAGACAGCCATGGACGCAGAGATGGCATCCAGGAAGTCCATAGGCACTTACGTTGACGAGGTTCTCCCTCCTGGGGCGAACATCGTCAGTGGCATGTGGATTTTCAGGGTGAAGCGGCCGCCAGGTTCTCCGCCTGTCTTCAAGGCTCGTTACGTTGCTCGAGGCTTCAGACAGTGAGAGGGAGTAGACTTCTTTCAGACCTTCTCCCCCACCCCGAAGATGACCACTCTTCAGGTGCTGCTGCACGTCGCCGCTCAGCGTGACTACAAGCTTCACTCTCTTGACTTCAGCACAGCTTTCTTACAGGGCAGCCTGCACGAGGAGATCTGGCCGCGCCGCCCTCCTGGCTTCACTGGGTCGTTCCCTCCTGGTACCCAGTGGAGCCTCCGGCGGCCAGTCTACGGTCTCCGCCAGACACCACGTGAGTGGCACAACACACTGAGGACGACACTTGCGGCTCTTGGGTTTGCTTTGTCGACTGCTAACCCATCGCTGTTTCTGCGCACTGACACGTTGCTGCCGCCATTCTACATCCTCGTGTACGTCGACGACTTGGTCTTTGCCACTGCTGACACTGAGGCTCTCGCCCTGGTGAAGTCGGAGCTGCAGAAGAGACACACGTGCACAGACCTGGGTGAACTGCGCAGCTACCTTGGCTTGCAGATCACCCGGGACAGAGCACGCCGCACCATCACACTGACTCAGTCACACATGGTGCAGCAGGTCCTTCAGCGCTTCGGCTTCACCTGGTCCTCGCCACAGCACACTCCTCTGGCTACAGGCCACTCGCTCTCAGCTCCACCTTCGGACGAGTCCGTAGAGCCGAGTGGCCCGTATAATAAAAACTTTAGAAAAAAAGCTAGTGGGCTGCCTCATGTACCTGATGACCTGCACTCGACCTGACCTTGCGTACCCTCTTGGCCTTCTGGCCCGCTACGTGGCTTCTGGTAGGCACCGAAAGGAGCACATGGATGCTGCGAAGAGGGTATTGCGCTACTTGTGCAGTACATCGGGCATGGGGCTGTGCTTGGAGGGCGGAGCCCAGTTGTCCTCACTGGGCACTCAGACGCTTCTTGAGTTGACGACCTGGCTACGCAGCGGTTGTCACAGGGTTACACTTTCAGCCTTGGCTCCGGTTCTGTTTCTTGGCGTTCTACTCGCTCGTCTTCTGTTCTCAGCTCCAGTTGTGAGGCTGAGATCTACGCCACAGCCATGGCTGCACAGGAGTTACGCTGGGTCACCTACCTGCTGACCGACTTGGGAGAGAGGCCTCGTTCTCCTCCAATGCTGTACATCGACAACAAGGCCGCCATTGCCTTGTGTCAGGAGCACAGACTGGAGCACAGAACGGAGCACATCGCTCTGCGTTACTTCCTGGCTCGAGAGTTGCAGCAGCGTGGTCAGCTTCGTTTGCGTTACGTGGCCACTCGGGCCAACACTGCTGATATATGCACCAAGGCACTTCCGTCTGGTGATCATCAGCGTTTCTGCACTTTGTTAGGCCTTGTGCCCAGTTTTCCTCACTTGTTGTAGACTTTGTTTGTACTGTGATCTACTTATATACCCGCTTGCCTGCTCTGCTCGGTAGAGATCACTGTGCTGTTGTTGTTGCATATATACCTCTGCATGTGAACTGGCCTTGTGGCCCTTTGCTTGTGCTCAGTGTGTGTGGTGACGTTGTGATCCACCCTGAGCTTGCTTTGTTTTTCTTGACTGGTCTTGTGACCTCTTGCTCTCCCCCAGTTTGCCTATGGGGGTGTGTCAAATGATATATATGCTACATATGCGTAGGCTGTAGTGGGGTAGCCAATATGGGGTACAGCCCACGTTAGGGTTTCACATTTGTACCTCATTCTTTCATAGTTCAGTCATTCCGTGCTGCTAGATTCTAACATGATATTGGTGGATACAAGCAAGGATGATATAGCATGCAAGGTCGAATGCCGGAAAGTACTTCGTGGGACTAGAAAGTAGAAGCAAGAAAGGTAGAGTGCCACGTGGCACTAGGAAATCTGAAAAGATAAGGATAAGGATGGGGTTCGAAGTATTGTTCAAAGGGAACAGTAAACACCCCTCTAACACTACCCCCTTCCCAAGGAGGCGACGTCCGCGACGTCTGCAGACTGAAGGTACGCTTGGAGGCAAGCGTTGTCGGGAGACAGCGAGGACGAAGGAACCCAGCTGTCATCTGCTGCGTCGTAACCACACCAACGAACCAAGAAGTCGATGAAAGAGACACCCCCCTAGAGATGGCGATGGTGCCTGAGGATGCGCTGGATCTGGTTGTCGGGCTCGTCGGTGTCAACAGCTACCGGCAGTGGAGTGCGGTCACGGCCCGAGAAGGTGGCGTTGGGATCGGTGTAAGGACGAAGAAGCGACACGTGGAATGACGGGTGCATGCGGAAATGAGTGGGAAGGTGGAGGCGGTATGCGACTGGACCAAGTGTGCGCTCAATGACGAATGGACCAATGAAGCGAGGGCGAAGCTTGCTGTCCTCTGGCAGTCGGAGGTTGCGGCTATCCAAGAGAACACGATCGTCGACTGCGAACGACACCTCACGACGACTGCGGTTGGCGGTGCGTGCCATGCGTGCACTTGCGAGCTCAAGGTGCTTCCTCACGTGATCATGAATGAAGGTGAGATGCTGGTGGAAGTTGTCCGCACGAGGGACAGTGGGTGTGAGATCGACACGAGTGGGGACATTGGGGTGCTGACCGTAAAGTGCAAAGAACGGTGACATGCCTGTGGACGAGTGGTGCGTGTTGCTGTATGCGAACTCGGCCATGCTCAGCTTCTTATCCCATGCGGCTGCGTCGTACATCGTGATGCTGCGAAGAATCTTCTCCAAGGTTTGGTTCACGCGCTCAGTCTGTCCGTCTGTCCCTGGATGGTATGTAGACGACATGGCTAAGCGAGTCCCAAACAATGCTAAAAGCTGCTTCCAAAACTTTGATGTGAAACGAGGGTCGCAGTAGGAAATGATGGAATCTGGAACCCCGTGCAGTCGGACTACGTTATCTACGAACAGCGTCCCGGCTTCCTCTGCTGTGACCTTGCCGTGCGTGAGAATGAAGTGTGCTGCTCAAGAAAACTTGTCGACTACAACGAAGATGGCGTCGTGACCCCTAACTGTGCGCGGTAATGCCATGATGAAATCCATGGTGACTACCTGCCAAGGGCGGTCGGGCGGTGGAATCGGCTGCAAGAGTCCTGCTTTGCGCTGGCGAGAGGACTTCGTACGCTGACACGTGTCGTACGAGCGAATGTAATCCTCTACGTGTGCTGCAAGCCCTGGCCAGTAGTACGTGCGACTAAGCGTCTTAGCCATTTTATCTGCTCCAAAGTGACCTGCACTAACTACGTCGTGGGCTTCTGAGAGAAGGAGCTGTCGAAGAGGGCGGTAGGTTGGAACCCAAATCCGTGTGGTACCCTTCCGTATGTAGACACTACCCTGCACCTCTGCTCCTTTGGGCGGCTGTGGTGTGAAGTCGGGATCTACTGTGTAACCGTGCTCGAAGAGTGCTGTGAGAAGTGGATGGCCGGCAGTGACTATGAGACTAGAGAGCTGGCAACTAGGGCGAGTGAGCGGATCTGCTGGGTTGCGCACGCTTGGCTTATACTCTATCCTGTAGTGAAAACTCCCCTCTATGAACTCCATCCATCTAGCCCGGCGACGACTCAGCTGCGGTTGTGACTTGAGAAAGCGAAGCGAGCAATGGTCTGTGCGTATCACACTATCTGCCCCCTCTAGGTAGCACCTCCACACCCTATATGCATGGATGATCGCGAGCGCTTCCTTGTCGTGAATCGGATAGTTCAGCTCCGCTCCCCTAAGCTTACGCGACTCGTACGCGATCGACTGCAACCCGCGTCCCTGGTCCTGAAGAAGCACTGCTCCTATGGCCCGATCTGATGCGTCGGTCACTACAACGTACGGGCGAGTGGGATCTGGGTACGACAATGTAGGTGAAGACGTGAGTGACTGCTTCAACTGCTCAAACGCCTGCTGCTGCGCTGGACCCCAATCGAAATCTACGCCCTTCCGAAGCAGGTCGGTGAGTGAACTAGCTATCGATGCGTAACCTTGAACGAAACGACGGTAGTAGTTCGCGAATCCGAGAAAGCTCTGCAACTCCTTGACTGAGGTCGGAGCTATCCAGTCCTGTACTGCTGCGATCTTTTTCGGGTCGGTCCTAATGCCACTAGCGGATACAACGTGAGCTAGAAACTCGACCTCTGGAAGGAAGAACTCGCACTTAGACTGCTTCGCGTACAACTGCTCCCTCCGTAAGACCTCGAAGACCTCCTGCAAGTGCTGCATGTGCTCCTCTTTCGTCTTTGAGATGATCAAGATGTCTTCTAGGTAAACCACGACGAACGAACCTAGGAACTCGGAGAGGACAGTGTTCATGAGCGTCTGAAACGTCGCTGGGGCGTTGGTCAAACCGAACGGTAGAACTCTAAACTCGTACAACTCCTGCTTCGTACAAAACGCCGTCTTGTGCTGGTCCTCTGGAACTACTCGAATCTAATGACACCCTCAGCGAAGATCGATCTTGGAGAAGATTCTAGCGCCCTGCACTGCATCGAGAAGATCCTCTATTCTTGGCACCGGGAACCTATTCCTGACGGTGGCGGCGTTCAATGCGCGGTAATGTATGCACATCCGTAACCCTCCGTCTTTTTTAGGTGCGAAAAGGATCGGTGCTGCCCAAGGCGATCTAGATGGCTGTATGAACCCCTGCTCGAGAAAGTGCCTAACATGCTGCATCATCTCCTCTGTCTCCTTTGGACTCAACCTCCACTGCGGCTTTGCTACTGGCCTGCTCCCCGGCTCCAACTCTATTCGATGGTCTACTGCTCGGCTGGGAGGTAACCCTGGGGGCAACTCGTCGGGGAAGACGTCTGCGAACTCTGCAAATAGTGCACTCACCACGGCAGGAAGTGTCGCCTTCTCACCAACTGCTGCACTCCCTCATTTCCCCTCCTCGGCTTCCACCTCTTCAAGGAAAACCGCAAAGATCCGTGCCGCCTGTCAGAGCATTATAGCTTATGCTTTTGTGTAGGCTGTAGTGGGGTAGCCTATATGGGGTACAACCCAATTAGGGTTAGTACTTGTACCCAACTCTTTCATAGTGCATTCATTCTCGTTCATTTTCACATGGTTTCAGAGCACATATGCTCCTGGCCTGTGGGCCCTACTACTGCTTCCGCTGCTACTCGATCTGTCGCACGCCCCATGGCGTGCGCGCGCGGCGATTTTCTCTCTGGCGCGCGCCCCGAGGCGCGCGGCCCCGTTCCTTCTAGGCGCGCCACTCCTCGCTACCCCGTCGCGGCGCCCAAGGGAGCCGCGCGCGACCCCTCGCTGCCCCGTCGCGGCCCCATCTCGTCGCGCCGCCCTAGCGGCCGCGTCGCGCCGCCCTCGCGGCCCCAATCCGCCGCCCTAGCGGCCCCGTCACCTACCCCTGCGGCCCCGGCGCCGCCCATCCCGGCCCCGGCTCCGCCCTTCCTGGCCCCGACGCCACCTCGGCTGGCCTCGTCGCCTACCTCGGCGCCCTTGACGCCGCCCTTCCCGACCCGGCCCCGCCTCCGCTGGCCCCGTCGCCTACCCCTACGGCCCCGGCGCTGCCCTTCCCGGCCCCGGCGCCACCTCTGCTGGCCCCGTCGCCGCTCCACCCGGCCCCGCCGCCGTCCCCAAGCGGCCCCGCCGTCACCACCGAGCCGCCGGCGCCGCCGAGCTGCTACCGAGCCGCCCCAGCCACCCGAGCCGCCCAAGCCGCAGCGCCACCTGAGCCGCCCGAGCCGCCGGGTCGCCGAGCCGCCGAGCTACAGTTGCTGCCGAGCCGCCGTACCGCCGAGCCGCCCGAGCCGCCGAGTCGCCGAGCCGCAGTTGCCGCCGAGCCGCCCGAGTTGCCCGAGCCGCCGAGCCGCAGTTGCTGCCGAGCCGCCGTGCCGCCGAGCCGCCCGAGCCGCCCGCACCGCCGAGTCGCCGAGTCGCCGAGCCTGCTCTTCCCACCACTGGTGAGCCCCTGCCCTGCTAGCGCGCTGCCCGCCGCCTGCTTGCCTGCCTGCCTGCCTTTCGGCCTGCCTGGCAGCTCGCCTTATTGCTGCTACTCCTGCTCCTGCTTCTACTGGCGGAGCCAGATGCAGCCCCAGCGACGTCCGCATGAGTCCCTCACGCCCCAGCAGCTGCGTGAGTGGTACGGTGGTTGGGGTTGTAGGGGTGGCGGCGCTGCTACTACTACCACTACTGCTGCTACTACTACTTGCGGCGGCCAGATGCAGCTCCAGTGACGCCCACGCGCGTCTCTCACGCCCTAGCAGCTTCGTAAGTGGTACGCTCAGAGTAGAGGGTCTCTCAGTTCCGTTCGCTGCTCTTACGTGATTCGCACTGGTGCTCGGACTAGTCAGCCTTGTGGGACACTTAGTCACACACAGTCCCGCTGCTTCGCCCGTCTGAGCGACGCCTGGCGTACCGAGTTTGGCGACGAGGCTGAGCTCCGCGACTGGGTGGAGTTGCTTAGGCAGAGGGTAGATATATTTGCTCTTGACTATGATGCTATTCTCAGTGCCATGTATGCATTGCCAACTAGAGCTGACTGTCACAGGATCCAATTCTCAATCGAAACTTGTCACTAAAACTGAATACAAGGCATTTTTATACTCGGAGAATACAAGGATAATCGAGATAAAACGAACCTTCGGGAACACGCCCTTCCCGATACTATAATCACAAGTGCGCACAAGCACGCAAGGCTATTGGCACTTGGGATTACGCCCAGATTACACCGTATACACTACTGTCGGCGCTGTCGGTGCCGTATAATAGGTATGTCGGTGGGAAAAGTAGGAAATATGAGAAATAAATAGAAGGCTCTAGAAAATAGAATAGTAGGCCGATTGAGATGAGATAAATGAGAAGAAGTGAACGAGAATGGAATGACTATGAACAAAGTGAGTACAAATAGGAAACCCTAATTGGGTTGTACCCCCTATGGGATACCCCACTATAGCCTACACAAATAAGTAAGCTATAATGTTCTGACACACCCCCATAGGCAAAGTGGGGGAGAACAAGGGGTCACAAGACCAGTCAAGCAAAGCAAAGCAAAGCTCAGGGTGGATCACAAAGTCACCACACATTCCGAGCACAAGTTCAAGGGCCACAAGGCCAGTTCACATGCAAGATCATATATAGAGATATACAAGAGTCAAGCAAAACAAGAGCAAGAGTATATATAGGTCAAGGTACAAGCAAGGTCAAGAAGTGAGCAAGTGAGGCAAGACAGGCACAAGACCCAGCTGCGTGCAGCAACGCTGATGATCACAAGGCGCAAGTGCCTTGGTGAAGACATCAGCAGTGTTGGCCTCAGAGGCCACGTACGCAAGTCGCAACTGCCCACGCTGCTGTAGCTCACGAGCAAGAAAGTAGCGGAGAGCAATGTGCTTTGTCCTGTGCTCCAGTCGCTGCTCTCGACACAAGGCCAGCATGGCCTTGTTGTCTACGTACAGGACTGGAGGAGAACGAGGCGGCTCTCCAAGGTCGGTCAACAGGTAGGTGAGCCAGCGAAGCTCCTGAGCAGCCATAGCCCCGGCGTAGATCTCAGCCTCACAACTGGAGCCGAGAACAGAAGACGAGCGGGTAGCCCGCCACGAAACAGAGCCGGAACCAAGGCTGAAGGTGTAACCCTGTGACGACTGCTGCGTAGCCTAGTCGTCAGCCCAAGAAGCGTCCGCGTGCCCTGTGAGGACCACTGGACTGCGCCCTCCAAGCACTAGCCCCATGCCCGACGTACTGCACAAGTAGCGCAACACCCTCTTCGCTGCAGCCATGTGCTCTGGTCGGTGTCTCCCAGGAGCAACATAGCGTGCGAGAATGCTAAGAGGGTATGCAAGGTCAGGTCGTGTGCAGGTCATCAGGTACATGAGGCAGCCAACAAGCTCTGCATACGGGCCACTCGACTCTACGGACTCATCCGAAGGCAAGGCTGAGAGCGAGTGACGAGTAGGCAGAGGAGTGGCCTGAGGCGAGGAGTACGTGAAGCCGAAGCGCTGAAGGACCTGCTGCACCATGTGTGACTGAGTCAGGGTAATGGTGCGGCGTGCTCTGTCCCGGGTGATCTGCAAGCCAAGGTAGCTGCGCAGTTCACCCAGGTCAGTGCACGTGTGTCTCTTCTGCAGCTCGGACTTCACGTGGGCGAGTCCAGCAGTGTCAGTTGTGGTAAAGACCAAGTCGTCGACGTACACGAGGATGTAGAACGGCGGCAGAGAGGTGTCGGTGCGCAGAAACAGCGACGGGTCGGCAGTAGAAGGAGCAAACCCAAGTGCCGCCAGCGTAGTCCTCAGTGTGTCGTGCCACTCACGTGGCGCCTGGTGGAGACCGTAGACTGGACGCCGGAGACTCCACTGGGTACCAGGAGGGAAAGACCCAGTGAAGCCAGGCAGGCGACGCAGCCAGATCTCCTCGTGCAGGCTGCCCTGCAAGAAAGCAGTGCTGAAGTCGAGAGAGTGCAGCTCGTAGTCACGGTGAGCAGCAACGTGCAGCAGTACCCGAAGAGTGGTCATCTTCGGGGTGGGGGAGAAGGTCTGAAAGTAGTCAACTCCCTGCCGCTGACTGAAGCCACGAGCCACGTAACGCGCCTTGAAGACAGGCGGAGAACCCGGCGGCGGCTTCACCCTGAAGATCCACATGCCACTGACGATGTTCGCCCCAGGAGGGGGAACAGCGTATACGTAGGTGCCTGTGGACTTCCAGGAAGCCATCTCTGCATCCATAGCTGCCTGCCACTGAGAGGAGTAGGGACCCTCTATCGCCTCCGCGTAAGAGCGCGGAGTCGGGATGTCTAGTGCATCCGGGTCTCCCTCTGGGGCGAGCAGTACAGACGGGAGATGAGGTGAAGCGGCGGCCAGACACTGGAACTCCTCCTGCCTGTCCTCAAGGACGTCCGTGCCTAGGGCACACTCACCCCCGACGGACGGAGGGCAGGCAGACTCAGACTCAGCGACAAGACTAGCAGCGTAGTCTAGACGACAGCGCGCAGCAAAGTCGACAAGCTCAGTGACAAGGGCAGACGCAGCAAACGACTCGAAGGAAGGGTCATTGACAGCAGTAGCAAGGAGACGCGTGACAGTGGGACTGGCAGCACGAAGAGAGTCCGACTCCGGGTCGGCAAGAGTAGGAAGAGTGGACTCAGGAGGAGAAGGCAAAGGGGCACGCAGAGGAGCAGTGGACGGACACAGAGACATCCGGTGCATGCCAGGGACAGGAGGAGGACGCTGACGTGAACCGCAACCACTAGTGCGTGCAGGGCGAACAGGCGACGCAGGATGAGACGCAGGCTCGCGACGCTCAGTAAGACCTCCAGTCGGACCAGCGTAGGGAGAAGGAGCAGGCAAAGGGGAGGCAGGCTGTAGCTGTGACTGGGACTGAACAGGCTGTAGACCCTCTAAGGGAGGCGGAGGAGGACCAGGAGAAGGTGTAAGACCAAGAACCTACTGTAGGAGCGGAACGAAGTATGGTCGGGGCCGCGTGGCGACGCCAGAAACAGCAGGGACAGCACCAGTACCCCCAGCAGGAGTACCCGCTCCAGCAGCACCTCCAGCAGCACCTCCAGCAGCACCAGCAGCAGCTCCAGAACTCCCAGCAGCACCAGGAGCACTGCCAGTCAGACCGCCAGCAGTAGTCTCAACGACAACACCCTCAGCTGCACCAGCTCCAGGAGAACTTAGCAGGCCCAGCAACTCCAGAACCCACAGCACGAGCACCTCCGGGACACGCGGCAGCAGCACCCTCTGCAGCCGAAGAACCTCCAGCACCAGCAGTACGCCTCTAGCGCCGGGCAAACCACTCACGCAGCTCCTGTGGGGAGAGTGGCTCTCGGCGCGACGAAGCACCTCCAGGCGGAGAACCTCCAGGCGAAGAACCTCGAGGCTCAGCACCCTCAGGCAAGGCCCCTCTAGGCGGAGCACCCCCAGTCGCAGCACCCCTAGGCTCAGCACCCCCAGACTCAGCACCCCGAGGCTCAGCACCCCCAGACACAGTACCCCTAGGCTCAGCACCCCGAGGCTCAGCACCTCCGGGCTCAGCACCCCCAGACTCCGCACCCCCAGGCTCAGCACCCTCAGGCTCAGCTCCCGCAGCAGTACCAGAGTCACCAGTGACCTCGACAGGCTCGACCACGTCTACCTGGGACACACCTGAAGGGGCAGGACCCTGAGGGGGGAGGGGGTCTACCGGGGGGGGGACCTGGTACCAAGAAGAGCGGGGGCGGGGGAAGGGAAGGAGTGCGGTAGGGGAAGAGGCGGTAGTAGGGTACCGACTCGTCGAACGTGACGTCCTGGGAGGACAGAACACGTCGAGAGGTGGGGTGGTAGAACTGCCACCCAGGGGCGTCGGGGGGGAACCCCAGGAAGACGCAGGGAGCAGCGCGAGGGGATAGCTTGTCCGCAGACAAGTCTCGGACAAACGCCCGAGATCCCCAGACTCGGAACGCCGACGCATCGCCAACCTTCCCCGTCCACAGCAGGGCTGGGGAGGTCTCCGACCTGGAGACCCTGGGGTGGAGGTTGATCTGATGCGCCGCGTACCGCACCGCAAACGGCCACAGAAAATGGGGGGCAGCCGCATGCATCATAGACGTACGAGCGACGTCCATGACCATGCCAATGCGGCGCTCTGCAATCCCATTTTGATGCGGTGAGTCCGGAAGTGTGAAGGTGTGGCGGATGCCTCGCGCACGACAGAAGGCACGCAGAAGGCCAGAGGAGAACTCTCCGCCTCTGTCCGAGTGCAGACGCAACACAGGAAAGTCCGAGCCAAAGCTCTGCCTGAGCTGGAGACGAGCTGCGCGGATCCAGTCGATCAGCACCTCAGGGACATCACCCTTGATGCGCAAGGGGAAGATTGTGGTGTAACGCGAGTAGTCATCAACCACCAACAGGAAGTAGCGCTCGTGACCGAGTCCACGGACGCGGGCAGGGCCCCACACGTCCATGTGAAGTGTCTGCAACGGAGCCTCTGTCGGGGGAAACTGGGAGGAGTGAGGGGCAGCACGCTGGCGCCCCTCGACACAGGGGACATAGCCAGGGCCAGGGCCCTGAGGAAGGGGAGGGAGGGACCGGGGGAGACCAGACACAAGAAGACGGGAGGCCATGCCTCTGAGCCGAAGCAGAGAGGGGTGGCCAAGGCGGTGGTGCCAGAGGAGAGTCTCGTGAGACAGACGGCGACACGAACTGGGGGCAGACTCAGGACCAGACCTGGACGCTGCAGCAAACACCTGACCAGACGAAGGGACTCTACCAGACTCAGCATCGGGAGGAGAAGCAGTGGTCAGTGTGTACAGGCTCGACCTTGGGTGACGTGTAAACGTAGCCAGGTGGCGACCTCTGCTAGCCTCTGTGCAGTGTGTCACCCGCTGACGAGCAGGAGTGAACTGGTGGACTCCCACATCCTGTAGGTCAGCACCACTCACCAGGTTTGTAGAGAACGAGGGGAGGTAAAGACCAGTCAGGGTGCCAGAGGGAGCCGCCGGACACGGGAGGACTGTGGAGAAACGAGACAGGACAGGACCCCCAGAGGGGTCAGCCAGGGACACCGCAACCGGCCGACTAAGCGGCGTGAGAGTGGTGCGGTCCCGAAAGAAGGAGCGAGACGCCCCAGAGTCAAGGGTGAAGGTGTGGGAGGCAGAAGCCGACACAGTACCTGAGAGGGCAGACTCACTAGCACCTGAGAGCACAGATGCACCGGCACCTAGAGCAGCAGCCTCACCGGCACCTGACACAGCAGTACCAATGCCCGGGTCGGGCGAAAAGCACCGGTAACAGTCACCATCATCACTAACAGTCACAGCATACATGGCAGCAAGGATAGCATCAAAGTCAAGATCAAACATAGCTACACCAGCCCTAGACAGCTCTCCCCAGCGGGGGATCTCAGAGGCCTCCGGAAACTGCTGGCGCCAAGCGTCGGTCAGGCGGGCAAAGCAGCGGCGAGCGGTGTGGGTGCCCCCACACTACTCACCCGCGCGGTCGCCGGTGCGAAGGACGTAGGCGCAGGGACCAAACGCCCCACCACGCTGACGCTGCGAGTACCACTCACGGAGCTGCTGAGGGGCGGGGACGTCCCGAGAGCGCTGCTGCTGCTGCTGGCGCTGACCACCCCCAGTGCCGCTCCTCTGGGACGAGCCACTCCGACCACCTCCACCACCGCCACCCCCGCCTCCGCCGCCACCGCCGCCACCGCCACCCTCGCCCCCGCCGCTCCCACTGCCTCCTCCGCCACCACCTCCGCCGCCACCTCCGCCTCCACCGCCGCCACCAGGACCGCCACCCCCGCCTCCACCCCCACCGCCACCCCCACTCCCCCCGCCGCCTCCACCTCCTCCGCCACCGCCCCCGCTAGCTCCACCCGCTCCCTTGCCCCCCTTGCTCCTGCCAGAGCGGCGCCTACCGCTGGGGGCAGACGCCGCACCGACCGACTCTAAACCAACGAGGTCGGCCGCAGCAGCAGAGGCGACAGAGGGTAGCAGGGGGGAAGGAGAACACCCCTCAAAGATGGGGGTGCGCGGGTCACCACGAGAGGCCCCTACAGCGACTATGCTCTTCTTGGCCGCTAGCAGGGACTTCTCAAGGAGGTCCACAGTGAGGGTGGTGGGACAGACAGAGAGAAACTGGTCCCTAACAGCACGAAGGGACTCAGGGAGACGGGTGACTAGAAAGTAGAGGGTGATGTACATGGGAGGGGGGTTTTCGGCGAGGAAGGCAGCAGGAAGCGCAGCTCGGTAGCGAGTGTCACTAGCGCGAAGGTGGGTAAACAGGTCAGTGACTGTGGGAAAGGCAGCAAGGTCAGGGAAGAGGTACGGTAGCATGAGGCGGCTCAGTGTAGCAGTGGAAGGGGAGGAGTAGCGCGCAACTACAGCGTCGTACAAGGCCTGAGCGGTCTTGCACTGACTAAAGTGTGCACGCTCGGAGGAAGGGAGGTGGCGACGCACAGCAAGACGTGCAGCAGCATCGCGTGTGGCCCACTTGGAGCGAACAGTGGGGTCAGCATCAGCAGGAGGGGCAGGGACAGTGCCAGAGACAAAGTTAAAGAGAGAAACCTCATCGATCGCATCGCACAGTAAGTACAGCTGCAGGTCCTCAATCCAGACTGCAAAGTCAATGGCGCGACCCTCAGCGTCAAAAGTCAGGACAGTGGGGGTGGCCATTGTAGCAGCTGACAGTCTCACCGGGCAGGAAGAGTCGGGTAGCACAGCGGCACAGCAACACGGCAGTACAGCAGCTGCGCCGGCCCAGGAGCAGCGGGAGCCCCACAGGAGCAGAAGATCGGCTCCTCGGGCGGCTCGGGCGGCTCGGGCGGCTCGGGCGGCTCGGGCGGCGTGGGCGGCTCGGGCGGCTCGGGCGTCGTGGGCGTCCCGCGGGCGGCTCGCGGGCGGCTCGCGGGCGGCTCACAGGCGGCAGCACGGGCGGCTGGTGCGGCGAGCGGGCGGCTCACGGGCGGCTGCACGGGCGGCCGAGGCGGCTCACGGGCAACTAGGGCGGCTGCACGGGCTGCTGGGGCGGCTCGCAGGCTGCTCACGGGCGGCTGCAATGGCGGCCGCACGGGTAGGTGCACGGGCGGGTGCACGGGCGGCCGCACGGGTAGGTGTACGGGCAAGTGCACGGGCGGGTACACGGGCGGGTGCACGGGCGGGCACACGGGCGGCTGCACGGGCTGCTCGTCGGGCGGCGCTAGGGCGGCGCGTGGGCGGCGCGTTGGGCAGCGCGACGGGCGGTGTTAGGGCGGGCAGCGGGCAGCGCTACGGGCGGCGCGTTGGGCAGCGCGACGGGCGGCGCTAGGGCGGCTGCACGGGCAGCGCGACGGGCTGCGCTAGGGCGGCGCGTTGGGCGGCGCTAGGGCGGCGCGTCGGGCAGCGCGTCGGGCGGCGCTAGGCTGGCGCGTCGAGCGGCGCTAGGGCGGCGCTAGGGCAGCGCGTCGGGCAGCGCTGTGGGCAGCGCGTCGGGCGGCTAGCGCTAGAGCAGGCAGCAGACGGGCGCTAGGGCGCTAGGGGCGGCGCTCACGTTCGAGGGCGGGCGGTGCGCTAGCGGCTAGGGCAGAAAAAAAAAGTCGTTTCGAGGTGGTGGGCCCTAAGCACAGGTCCCATAGGGGAACCTGCTCGATACCATGAGAAGAAGTGAACGAGAATGGAATGACTATGAACGAAGTGAGTACAAATAGGAAACCCTAATTGGGTTGTACCCCCTATGGGATACCCCACTATAGCCTACACAAATAAGTAAGCTATAATGTTCTGACAATAAAGACCAAAATAAAGAGGAGAAAAGGGAGAATAGGATAACGGAAAAATATAATAGTGAGAAAATATTATAACGGGGACGTCCTCTCACACTTCCCCCCCTCAAAGCTGGGTGGTAGAAGTAACACCCTGCTTTACAAGGTAGTCCTGGAGAGGACGGCGGGCGTTATCCATGTCGTGTTCAGGTACCCAGGTATCCTCGGAAGGATCATAGCCTTTCCAACAAATCAAGAGCTCCAAGGTGCCGTTACGTCGTCGTCGGTGCGCCAGAATGGCTTCGACTTCGTACTCGGGTTCCCCATTAACGATCACTGGCAGTGGCGGCGGCGGCTGGCGACCTTTGAAGACCGTGTTTGGGTCTCGATAGGGCTTGAGAAGTTGAACATGGAAGGCATTGTGAATTCTCCAGGTAGCTGGTAAATGCAAGCGGAAGGTTACTGGAGTGACCTGCGCCTCGACGAGAAAAGGTCCGCAGAAGCGAGGTCGGAGCTTAAACGGAAGATGGCTAATGTCGAGATTGCGTGTATCCAGAAGCACTTGATCGCCAATCTTGATGGAATGATCGTTGCGACTCCGATCAGCGAGCTTCTTTTGTTGCTGCTGGATAGTCAGAAGACGTTTATGCGTGCGCTCCCACAATTGGTGCATAGTGGAAATGAAGTCATGTGCAGGTTGCACCGTGGCGGTTACTGTTGGTTTCAGAGGCGTGAGTGGGTTGCGAACGTAACAGAGGAAGAAAGGAGTTTGCCCTGTTGCGGCGTGCGTGGCGTTGTTATACGCAAACTCGAGAACCGGCAGATGTGCATCCCATGTAGAGATATCGTCCTTACACGCTACTCGCAGAAGCTGTTCGACAATCTGGTTGAGGCGCTCTGTCTGACCATCCGTTTGGGGATGATAGGCTGATGACATGGCGAGTTTGGTCCCCATGAGCGACATAAGCTCCTTCCAGAACTTACTCGTGAATTTCGGGTCTCTGTCGGAGATCAGCGTGGTTGGAATCCCATGTTGCGAGATGACGTAGCGGAAGAATAATTGCGCTGTCTCCTCGATGCGAGCCGTTGAGTGTGTCGGAATGAAGTGTCCCATTTTGGAGAATTTGTCGATGACGACTAGAATGGCGTCGTAACCAGCTTTGGTAGGTGGTAACCCGGTGATGAAGTCGAGGCTAACCACTTGCCAAGGCTGTTCAGGGACTGGAAGAGGCTGTAGTAACCCTGCTTTCTTCTGTTTGCTGCTCTTCATCCGTTGGCATGTGTCGCATGAGGTGACGAATTTGTATACGTCATCCGCCATGTGGGGCCAATAATAATGCTTCGCAATACCGGCAAGCGTCTTGTTACTACCGAAGTGGCCCGCGTAGAGAACATCATGATATTCTTTGAGCAGTAACTGGCGTAAGGGAGGGTAATTAGGTACCCATATTTTTGTTGAGCCCTTGCGGTATGCGATGTCTTCATCCCATTGTAGAAGATGGCGCTTTTCTGCTACAGAGACTTCGGGGTCGATGGTGTATCCATGCGTGAAGAGTCCCTTCAAAAGGGGGTTCATGCCATCGACTTGTAGGGCGGCAACGTGTGCAGGGCGACTCAGTGCGTCTGCCTTGTTCTTGTGCCCCGGCTTATACACGATGTCGTAATGGAAGTGGGTTTCGAGAAAGTCAATCCACCGGACCTGTCGCCTGGAGAGTGTTGGTTGGGTCTTCAGGTACTTGAGGCTGCAGTGGTCGGTGTAGACGGTCGTTTTTCTTCCTTCGAGATAACACCTCCATGCCTTAAATGCGTTGACAATGGCGAGGGCCTCTTTGTCATGGATGGGGTAATTGAGTTCTGCCCCGTGAAGTTTTTTACTGAGGTATGCAATGGGTTGCACTCCCTTCCCTTGATCCTGCATGAGTACTGCACCCACTGCTTGATCGCTCGCATCGGCCTCGATGACATAGTCAAGTTCAGGGTCTGGCAGGATAAGGACAGGTGCGGACGTGAGTGCGGTTTTAAGTTGTTCCACGGCTTCCTGGTGCTTCGCCTCCCATTGATATGGTGTATTCTTCTTCAGCAGGTTCGTTAATGGTGCGGCAATCTTGGCGTAGTTCGGTACGAACCGGCTGTAGTAGTTGGCGAATCCAAGGAACTGTTGTAACTCCTTCACGTTCTCAGGGGTCTTCCACGTTCGCACTGCTTCGATCTTCTTAGGATCCACGTGAACTCCTTGAGCGCTCACCATATGTCCAAGGAACTGGACTTTTTTCAACGCAAACTCGCTCTTGGATAGTTTCACGTAGAAGCGTTCTCGTCGAAGAATTTCAAACACCCGTTGCAGATGCTCAACGTGCTTCTTCATGTCTTTCGAGTAGATCAGGATATCGTCCAAATATACCACTACGCACTCGTCCAGAAGGGGCCGAAGGATGTGGTTCATTTCTGCCTGAAATATGGCTGGTGCGTTAGTGAGTCCGAATGGCATTACGAGATACTCGTATGACCCATACCGAGTTTGAAAGGCGGTTTTGTGGATAGAGTTGTCCGCCATACGAATTTGCCAGTATCCCGATCTAAGGTCGAGCTTGGAGAATACCGTAGCACCGCGAAGTTGATCGAGTAAGTCGTCGATCCGTGGTATCGGGTATTTATTTTTTACAGTTTGCTTGTTCAAGGCTCGGTAGTCGATGCACATTCGCAGACTTCCGTCTGGCTTCGGAGTGAAGAGAACTGGAGCTCCGTACGGTGAAGTCGAAGGTCGAATCAACCCTTTCTCCAGGAGATACTCTATTTGTTTTTTCATATCGGCAAGCTCTGTCGGGCTCAGCCGGTATGGTGCTCGGAACGTTGGCTTGGACCCCGGCTCTTCTACGATCTCGTGTTGATGCGACCGGTATGGCGGTAGTTGATCAGGTAAATCGTCGGGGAGAACATCCTGGAACTCTTCAAGAATTTTCTTGACTGCTGGAGGAAGTTCCTGGGTCTGCTTCTCTCCGTTGTCTGCTTCATTGACTATCGCCATGAATCCCGCCGTAGTCCGTTTGACGTCCTTTTCAAAGCGTGCGAGTGTCTCGACTGGAATATTTCCCGTGTCTTCCCATTTGGGAAGGCTAATTTTCCTCCCGTTGTTGTTGATGTTGGCCGTCCGGTTAACCCAGTTGATCTCGGGGTTGAACTAGAAAGTCTCTCCCGAAGATTACGTTGAGTCCTTTGATATTTGTGACGGGGAGAGCAGGCTTCCATCGAAGGGGTCCAATGTGGAGTAGCAACCGTGTTTCCCCGTAGATAGGTAGCTTACTGCCATCCACCATCGTTGCAGAGAAGCTTGAAGACTTGATGTCACTTCCGAGTCGATCGATTGCCTTTTTGTCATAGACGCTGTGCGACGCCCCGCTGTCCACGAGTGCTTGGAGGCGCTGTCCGTTGCAGATCACCTCGAGCAGGAGTGGTGAGCGTTGCTCGGAGTACCCAAAAATAGTCTCATTAATAGGATCATAGGGTACATCCCAATATTCAGTACACACCGTGGTTCCACTGTTTTCTCCTGGACAACTGGCTGGCCTGGGCTGCGTGGAGAAAGGCTCCTCTCCAACGCCAGGAGTAGAAGTAGTAACCGTACAGGTTGACCCTGAGGGGGTGGATCCGGTCGACGCCTGCGATCCACTGGATGCATCCTGGAGGGGTTTTCGGAGTTTCTGCAGCTTCTTTTGAACTCCCAGCTGCCTCTTCGGCTGCTTCAGCTCCATAGACTTCTTCCCTGGGGAGTGGAGAGTCGTCTTGGGCTGGTTCCGGGAGAGGACGTTGACGCTGTGAAAAGGTCTACTCCTTTCCACACTCCTTATTTTTTTCCCCAGCTCCGTAGGCACCCGTACCACTTCTTTAATTGTCTGCTTCCTCTCGAGTTCTTCCCGGGATTTGTTTATGGCTCTGGAC